ATTGAACAAAGTGCATGATTAGAGCTAAACTTTGTTGGTGATTCACATTTTTGTGATATGAACTTTATATTGAAACATAATTTATACATCTTACATGCCAACAGTGTACACATGCACATTGAAATAAGTTTGGGGGAATGGTGCATCACATGGATTCCTTCATGCACACCCAAGTTTATCAATTATCACCATAAGATATAATACACATACTTTACACTTTTGTAGGATGTCACCAAAAAAGCCTCAACAGGAAAAGAGAAGGTCGGCTCCACATATGGCATTGTAGGTCTCGATTTTCGACCACCTCCATACTGATCAGGGGAGTTCTAGTTATCTCATTTCTTGTGCTTTCAGTTTATTTTGTCCCTCAATTATATGTATTTGAACTTCTACTTTATTTCAACAATGAGGGCAAGGTTATGTATAAGTTTGGAGGTGGCATAATTTGATATAAATGTGGCATTTAGATTTTGGCATCCATTTATCGTGTATTATTCATATTCCATCAACACATTTGCTTAATTGTTGCATTGTGTGTGCTTGTTGAGTGTTATGAAATAATAATAATAATAATAATAATAATAATAATAATAATAATAATAATAATAATAATAATAATTTGCATAGGTTCTTCATTTTACTATATTGCTTGTTTTATGTGCTTGTGTGGGCTTGATAGCCTTGCCGACTATGATGAGATTATTGAAAAAGCTATTCATAAACTTTGGATATAGTGCTGAATAGATTAACCAATACTTGTGATGCAATACTTGACATTATCTATGCACTCTATTCATGTTTGACATGTTAGGTGAATGATTGAATTTTGAGCATAAAGTAGAAAAAGAATTATAACCCTCTATTGAATTAACACGTAAATCACTTTAAGACAGTTTGGAATTGGTTGAGCTATTATAGGGAGCATTGAGAGAGGTAGGAGCTCCGTGCATGAAATTTTATTGTGTGAATTGCCTAAATCAGTGAGGTGAAGATTAGGTGAAAATCCTAAATTAGGGGTTGGTTTTGGAAACTAAATGTATAGAACGATAAGGGCATAAAATTAATTTGTGAGAATAAGACACTTCTTTTCATGCCTTTATGATTCGAGCAAGTAAGCCTGTAAGGATATTTCAAAATCCGGTGCCCTAAGGTCAACTGGCCTGGGAGTCACCAACCTAATGCTCGCTAAAGGGGTCATATAGAAAACAAAAAGGAAAGAGATTAATAAAAAGTCATCTGATCGAGCATTTATAACTCGAGTAAATAAGCCTGCAAGAGTTTAAAACCTAGTGCCCCAAACCAACTGGTTTGGGAGTCACCGGCCTAAAGCTCGTTACATGAGTTGTATAGAAAGCAAATGAGATGATGATACAAGAAAAAAAATTGAAAGTGAGAATAACGAAAGAGAAACAAAAACATGAAGAAAAGCCCTTAGACATTTGGTTGAGGAAACTATACCTTTGAAGCGAGTCAAGTAGCCTATTTTAATCTTGAGTGTCGAAGCAATCACACTTGGGAGAGCCTTCACTTGTTAAAATGTAAACTTGTGATAGTGAGATCAATCCAAACTACGAGAGGGTGAAGACTACAACTATGTAAATTCCTAAGTTTAAAACACAACCCCGGGGAAATTGAGTGAAAATAATAAGTTTGGGGGTTGTGTATCTCTCGAGCGAGTAAGGATACATTTGACCACTTGGGGTCGGGACTCAACCCATCATAAATTTGATATGTTGGCATGAATTCACACACATACGTTAAGTATGCATTTAACAGGTAAATGTTGATGTCATTTTTGCACTGATAAATTTTAATAAAGTCAAATACTTAGTCTAATCTTGAGCCACGGCAGAGTATTAAGTCATATTTGTTCAGAATTAAGTCACTATCTTGTTTGAGGACAAACAATAGTTCAAGTTTGGGGGGTTTGATAAGTGTGTTTTTACACACTTATTTAGGTCACAAACATGACTTAATTATGAGCAAAATGTTTAAATTGTGACTTAATCTCATTGAATTCATGCAATGTAGGTGTTTCTATGAAAATGGTGAAATTCAGGACAAAAGAGCCGAAAAAGGACTAAAATGGAGCAAAGTGATAGTTCAGGGACCAAAGTGAAATTATCCAAAAGATGGTTTGAAGGACAAATCAAGGAGGTGAATGAGCTAAGTACCAATTTGGTGACATTATGAAATGATGGAAACAAAAGAAACAAGCAAAAAGGACCAAAATGAATCAAACTGAAAGTTCAGGGACAGAGTTGCAAATAATCCATAGATGAGACAGGAAATGGAATGAAGATTCAAGAGTGTTAGAGGTCAATCGGATGAGGAAAGGAGTCAAAGAAATGAAATATGGTCGAAGTATTATCAAGTATCAACTTTCAGGCGAAAAATCTATACTCATGATTTTTAGTCTCTACTTGAGATCCATTTTTGGCATAGTAAACATCAGAATTTGGGAAAGCCTATTTCTATACAAAGTGTAGATATTTGAGTTTTCTTCCCAATTTACTTTGAATCACTTCAATCAGAGATCAGGAGAGAAAGTCATGACCAAAATACTAAAACCTGACTGGCGAAAAGAATGACATAACCATGCGGTCGCATGGTAGAAACTCCTATGCGGTCGCATAGAGGCATCCCGAGAAATTATTCTCAAATCTTTTTTATTCTATGCTATTGCATAGAAATGTACTATGTGGTCGCATAGAGCAATTCGGAGGCCAAATCTGCAGTTTCCTTATTTCACCGAAACTCTTATGAAAACAAGATTTTTAGGGTCCTGTATAAACAAAAACTCGACCAGAACGAAGGAGATGCCATTTTTAGAAGAAAAATAGAGATTTTGAAGGAGAAAATGAAGAGAGAACAAGAGGAAAATATCGCGTCAATTGAAGAATTGATTGAAACTTGATTCGGGTGATGACGTTTCTTCAACTATTTTTGTATTTTCTTCTTTTTAGCATGTTAGGTTAGATTTTTCATATGCTAGGAGATCGATGTACCATGTAATTTGATCTTTAATTTTCTAGTGTTTCAATTTGACATTAAGACATATTTCTATTGATTTGAATGATTTATATGCAATTATTATTTTCACAATTAAAGGCTTGTAATTGTGTGAGTTTGGGTGATTTATTCTTGCATTCGAGAGAATTGGAATAAGTTCGACATAATATAAATCATCGTTGGGTCCGATAGGGAATAGAAATATACCGCTATGCCCTACATGAATCTTTAAGTGTTCATAAAACCGCATGTATTTTTACATATGTACTTGTCATAGAAATATAGGCCTGTGGTATGTAGAAATAGGTTCGATACATCTCAAGAGAGAGTATTTGATAGATTTAGGAACATTGATTCATCACAATTGAAGTATGTTGTCACATTGTGAAATGAAGGTTTTAAAGTGATAATTGCATGAGAAATCGTGATCCTAGTGTGTTTAATTTCTATTGATTACAACAAACATTCATTCTCAATATTTGATTTCATTCTAGAGTGTTAAAAATATTGTTTTGCACATTTAATTTAATTCAATCATAAAAATTGCATAATTACCGCTTTCTTTACAAAATTAGGGTTTTCATTAGGTTTGCATTCACTTTAGTAATTTAGTTTCGGTTAAGGCGACGATAGATAAAATTGAACTAATCAATCTCTGTGAGATGATATTCAGACTCATTTAATCCACTTTATTACTTGTTAGGGAACCGTATACTTGCGATAGTTTTAAATCGAAAGAAATAATTTCGTGAACAATGATAAAGTTGTATTTATAATGAGTTCTGTTGATCAGATACACACATATAAGACAATTAAATCACCGTTAACCACTTTATATGTACCAATTACTATAATAATTAACACCGTGGTAGAAATGTAGATGACATTTAAATAAGAAAAATGATCCCTATTAAGTTATTTAATGGTATTGTTCAACATGACATCTTAAAATTGAAGCTTGTTCTCTATTCAAATTTTGTCAATGTCACTTATTTTATTAAGATTTTAATCGTCTTTAGATCTTGATGAAAGTATATTCCAGCATCGAAGATATATAACGAAGAAAAGTAAATTTGACTGTTTTCTAGCACGTTAAGTTTTTAATTGTGTCCAATTAAAATGTGTACAACTTAATAACTTAATCGTGAGAAATATTATTCCCAATAATTTTGAAAAGATTAGAATTTGTGAAGGTCCTATTTTTCTCCTCATAATAAGGCTTGGCCATAGGTTAATAGCAAAGTTATTTACCTACCAGATATATTTATGTTCCAGTGTGACGGCAACACTACGGTATAAAAGTAAAATAATTAAATAATAGGTGCAATGGTTTCAATATATAAAAAATATAATTATAAAATCTTAGGTGCAATGGCAGTAAGATGAAAATTAGCTGTGAAGTTTTATTTTATTTTAGACAGAAGAGAAAGAAATACGAAGAAATTTCGATCTTAATTAAAATTATATTTCTTTATTAACATTCAAGTGCATGTTCATCAAAGAACACAGAATATTAATAAATTAATAAATTTTAGGCATGAGGTGTTCTATTCAATTTGTCCTAAGGGTTAGGGTTTATTTCGTAAAATTACCAAAAAAAAAAAAAAATGTAAAGAAAAACGTCGCTTCAATTTTTAGGGTTTCACTTATTTTTGTTCTTAAACATTTTTCCATTTTGATCAACAACGTGAGGGCGAGCTTTCAACCTCTTTTCCTGTTAATTCCCCTTTTTTGGCTCTCCCAAACTGCAACCGTATATTCATTAAATTGCTAATATTAAACAGAATCTTCTAAGTTACTGCACGAAAAGTCTTTCAAGTTGTAATATAGAAATATTTCACGTTATCAATTATATTTTGTATTTTTTCTGATTTTTTAAGATTATTCCTTAAATTGTAAAAAAGTTTCCTTTTACAATCATTTCTAACCCTATATATGTATATGAAGTGTCTCTCTTAGTATTTTAAAACTCTTTCCACATTACAGTCATGGCAGCCCTAGTTAGTGGAGTTTTCCTATACTTCTTTCTCGTTTTCTTAGCCCCTCATACTTTATGTCGCACTCTCATTCAGAAGGACCACACTAACAGCACAGTAGAAACATTGTTTTTCGATTCTCTAAAAAATTTGCAAGGTCATCGTAAGGGCGACAAAGTGGAAGGACTTTATCAAGTCAAGCAATATCTGAACCATTATGGTTATCTAAATACTCTTGAACAAAACAATGATGAGTTCGATGATGAATTAGAGTCCGCTATCAAGACTTACCAACTCAATCACAATCTTGACACTACAGGAATTATGGATTCTAGTACGTTGTCAAAAATGATGATGCCTCGATGTGGGGTACCTGACATCATCAATGGCACTAACACAATGTACCGTGGCACCAACCCCTTCAATGCTTCACTATACAAAATCTTGCCAGGAGACCGCAAATGGCTTGAAACCCTACTTCTCTATAAGTACGTAAAGGGTTTTCCTACAGAGCGTATAGACTCTGTAGATCAAGCCTTAGTAATATGGTCTAAAAAGACACAATTCCAATTTTTCAGACTTGCGGACAATATTGTAACGCAAGGCCCAGATATAAGTATAGGTTATTTTTCGGGTGCTCATGGTGATGGATTTCCATTCGATGGACCTGGTGGAGTTTTTGCACATGCTTTCGGGCCAGCGGACGGGCGAATACATTTCGATGCGGACGAGGCTTGGACAGATGGTGCTAGTCCGAATATGATCGATATAGTTAGTGTTGCAGTGCATGAAATTGGGCATGCTCTTGGACTTGGGCATACAAGTGTTGAGGATGCAATTATGTACCCTTATATGCATTATGATATTATCAGAAGAACTTTGCATCAAGATGATCTTGATGGAATTAAAGCCTTATATGGATCTTGATCAATTTTTGTTTTGATTTTCTTTTGTTGATTTTCCTCCTGATCTTGTATACGATATTCCGACTTCAATTCGTTTTGAATTGAAAATAGTAATAGAATTTATGAATTGAGATTTATGCTTTATTTTTAGTTCAATTGGCTTAGCTATGTTGTTTTTATCGTTAACATTAATAATCACGAAGGATCGAATGATTAATGTTTGCACGTTATGAATGTACATATTGAAGAGAAAATGTAAATATTCAAGGCTCATCACACAGGGTGGGTATGTGGGGTAAATGGAATAAGTCTTGAGATTAAAAAATCATAACAGCGGACAGATTCTTTTGATATTACACATGTAATAACAGTTTCACACTACTACGGAGAAATAAAAATGTAGAAGAGAAGTGTGTATTTTATTTGATTCTATACAATGGAGTTTGTCTATAATTTTTGACGAGAAAATAGAGTATTTAAAATCATAGTTTAAATATTTCGAGGATATTCTTTTCTTTTTTAATCCATTTTTTGTTGTTCTCTTCTAAGTTGTAAATGATAATTGTGGACCAAAATTAAATAGAATCTTATAAGTTACCATAATTTGTCTTTAAAAAAATATATCTAAGGAAAGTCTTCCATTTTGTAAAAGAAGACCATAAATAAATGACGATAATATATAAAAATGTTTCATATTTTCAGTTAGATTATGATATCTTCCTGATTGTTTTTTAAGATTATTTCTAAAATTATACAATTAATATAAAATATTTCGTTTTGCAATATCTATAAGGGAAAATTGCAGCAGAGGCCCCAAACCTTTAAAACATTAGCAGACTTTTCCCGAACCTTTAATTTGTTGCAACCGTCATCCCAAACCTTTCGAAACGTTGCAGCGGAGGCCCTTTTTGACGGTTCTCATCCAAATATCTGTTAGTTGACTAAGAAATTGATTTTGACCATATATTTTTAATATTTTTGAAAGGGTAGAATAGTAAATTTCCATTTATTGCATTAAATATGTTAGAAATTAAATTATATAAATAAGAATAAGAAACAAAAAAACCATCGTCTTCTTCCCAACACCCCACCGCACCCCCACCCCTACCCCCACCTGAAATCCAACTTCAATAATCAACCAACGCCGTCACCGCCACCGTCTTTCTTGATAGAGGGAGAAAAAAAAAATTCTCTTGAAAAATTTCTCTGCAAATTCATTCAATTTATAGTTTTGCTTCCCACTTTGAATTTTTGTATTTATCTTGGCAAAATCTTCAAAAACAAATCAACACATATAGTTTGATTTCCAATGAACTGCCTATTTCAAAAAAAAAATTAAGTGGAAGATGAGGGGGGAGGGGAGGCATCCGAATTGGTTTGCAAAATGGGAAGAGGAATTGCCATCACAGAGTTGATGCCTTTATCACAAACCCTGTAACCCCTGAGCTTGCACTGGCCTTTGATATTCGAAACCCACCACCAAATCACACCCATCAAAGCACTCCCCCGCTACCACATACCACATCGTACGCTTCTCAACCTAACTCTTCCATGGAATTCAACTCGGCTGAGTTGGTTGGGTCGGGAGGGGGTGGTGATGGAGGAGTAGCCAGTGTCGGAGGTGGATTGGGGTCGGAGGAGCCGACTCGGACCCTGAAGCGACCACGACTTGCTTGGATTCCTCAACTGCAGAAGAGATTCATGGATGCTGTGGCTCATTTGGGAAGAAGACAATGAATTTTTTTTCTTATTCTTATTTTTTTAAATTTAATTTCTAACATATTTTAATGTAATAAATGAAAATTTACTATTTTACCCTTTCAAAAATATTAAAAATTTGGTCAAAGTCAATTTCTTAGTCAACTAACAGATATTTGGATGAAAATCGTGAAAAAGGGCCTCTGCTGCAACGTTTCGAAAGGTTTGGGGTGATGGTTGCAACAAATTAAAGATTTGGAAAAAATCTACTAATGTTTTAATGGTTTGGAATCTCTGCTACAATTTTCCCTATCTATAAACACCTATAAATATCAAATAAAGGTCTTCTCTTTGTACAAGAAGATTATTTCTTTCATACATAACATCGTAATGGCAGTCATTGTTAGTCAAGCTTTTTTATGCTCTTTCGTCCTCCTCCTAGCCCCTCATACTTTATGCCGCACTCTCACGCAGAAGGTCCAAACAAATAGCGTCAGTCAGTTCGAGTCTTTCAAAAACTTACAAGGTTATCGTAAAGGTGATAATGTGGAGGGACTCTATCAAGTCAAGAAATATCTTGATCAATTTGGTTATCTTGATGTTCTTGATAATAAGAACAGTGAATTTGATGACAAATTGGAGTCTGCAATCATGACTTACCAACTCAAGTTCAACCTTAACGTTACCGGAATTTTAGATTCTCGGACAGTGTCACAAATGATGATGCCTCGATGTGGGGAACCTGACATGTAACAATCTGAACTTCAATTCTCACTATTTATTTAAATTGGTTTGATCATTTTTCTGAAAATTTTCTAATTAATTAATTACATTTTCAATAGTGTGAGAGGATTTAGTCAAGGATTTATATTGAAGTTATGTGTTCAATGCACAGTACAAAATCATTTGTACTCTCTCTCTCTCTCTCTCTCTCTTTAAAGGAGAACGGTTGTCCTTGAAGAGTGAGAAAACACTATACTAATAATCACTATTATATAAAAATGTCAATGTCTCGCTACTGTAGAAAAAACAGTAGATTCTTCCATTTTTACACACTGTAGCAAATCTTCTTTTTTTTTTTTTTTTGGGTTTCTGGAGCAAAAACGACGCCGTCTACTCTTCCATTTTCAAACAGTAGCAATTTTTTTATTTTTTATTTTTTCCATCTCTGGAGCCAAGACGAGGCCGTCTGCAAACAAATATATATATCTACAGTGATGCACCCACTTGTCTTCAGTTTAGGTAGATTTTTTTCTTCTTCTCCATTTTCACATGCTATTGCCTAACTCCTTTTTCTCTTTGAGTTTCATTGGTTCCTTTCTCTTCTCCATGTTTGCATACTATTTCTGTTTCTATTATATTTGGGATATCTGTATTTTGTGCTTCAATCATTGTGCTTATATTGTATTTATTTTCTTTGTTTGTTCGATCATTGACGCATTTTTTTTTGGCCTTATTTTAGTTTGCAGGTAGTGGTGGAGAATGCTTTCAACTTCTATTTAGTTCGTGGTAGCAGTAATATCTAGAGGTTTTTCCTGCGATGATTAATGAGGGGGAAATCTACTTTCATATGATTTGGTTTTTCATTTTTCTTGTATAGTGTTCAATTTCGATGTTGATGTTGATTTGTTGTACACAAACTTTGGAGTGAACTGGTAAATAAGAGAGTAAATAGAATTGAGCGTGGAAATAACAGAATAGATTAACATGGATTAACATGAAAATAAAACATTTTTCGTGTATACAAATTCATTTAGAAGAAAGTAAAGATGTCTCATAGACGTGTCAAACTTTCACCAACATGGTCTTTTTTGTAGACGATGAACTTGGGGGTTCACTGTTCAAAAGTTCGAAAACACATGTATCGCCCATTTGTAGTTCTTTTTCTCTAAAAAAATCTACCCAACCTATAATCATACGTCTTATTAGACCATTTGATCGCAAATTTGTGGCGAGCTCCCAGTTGTGATTTAAAGAATCATGGATTTGAACACTTCGCAGACCTCTTGGTAGGTGATATCTAGAGAATCGTCCTAGTATACACCGAAAAACCATGAATAAATAAATTATTGATCTTTGAATCAAATTTATGTGGAAGAGATGAATGTAGAATGAGATATTAAAGATGACACCTACAATTTCCCGATAGCTGTTGTGATGAGGTGTGAGTGTTATTTCAAATACAGGGTTATATGTATGTGAAACGTTGTATTCTTTGGGAACCTTGGAGTCATATGTGACATCTAATCCAGAATAGTCAAATATGGTCATATTGATTGTGGAGTTTCCGTTATATTCAAATACCAAAACATGAGCATCCCGTAAGTTATGATGGTTAAAAAATTGTTCCCATCCATTGGCAAAATATATTCTTCCATTATCTCTTTCCAATTGTATTGTGACAATTATACCATCATATGCAGTTACTCGTACTGTGTCACGAAGTTGGTGCCTCCAATCGTTGACAAAATGATTTGGGAAGCATCTATACATATACATTAAAAAGTATAAGAGAGATATTAAGAATGCATCCATTCAAATGTGAGAGGAGAAACTGTTGTGTGACTAACCAGACGGGTATTATGATTTTGTGGAGGAGTAATGATTCTGAAGAAACGATGTGGCACCTCCATTCTGTCTCGATATAGTACAATGAAAATTTTGTTAGAATAACTCTATTATTTACGTTGTGGAGGCCCTAATATAGATTTTAAGGTAGATTTTGCATTATAGGCGAATTAGAAAGTTTGTTAATGGAAGTTCCATGTCTGTAAGATAAACTTTGTATGTGATTTAAAAAAGAAAATATTTTATATGTCGTTGTAGAAGAATATCATGAAGTTTGATAAGAAATTCATGATTTGTGTTCGATTTTTAATAAAAGAATTGAAGATTGACATTTAGTCCATCTCAATAAACAAGATGTAAGTTAAAACTGCAAAATTTAGTGTTGAAAAAATAGCTATGGTAATCAAGAAAGAGTAGATAGACACCTGATTTTCTTTTTGTTGAGCACCTGCAAGCAAAGATATGTAAATATTTTATGTAAGGAATGATTTAAGGTAAATTTTGAAAACATGAGAAGTTATTTAGATTAGAGGATATGTACTTCCTCTATTTTCCCCTTTTCTCTAGATTTGACAAGAGGTTCACGGGGTTGTAGAAATGGACAATATGTTACCGAAAAAGCCTGATCTTACTCTTTCCAAAAATAAAGTGAGGAGAAAAAAATTATTGAAATATCACGTGAGTGACTATTTTATCTTAACACATTTCACACATTATTTGATTGCACTCAAAAGGTTACGATTGATAATGTAATTAATATATAATATATCTATTATTTATCTACATTTTTACTCATTTGAAGAATTTATATAATACTTGTATATATATATAAAATGATTTATATTTTATGTATTTATTTTAGGAATCACATCTATTAAAAAAATTAAGTTGATTAAATGAAATTAAATTTTGATGCTGAGAGTCGGTAAAGGAAAAAGAAATGGGAAAAAAATGAAATTTGTTAGGTGCCTCTGTAATTACTACGAAGGCACAAACTGCCTCCGTAGTGCTACAGAGGCTCAACTTTGAGCCTCTATAATTATGGAGGCATTATTTTTCCCCCTTTTTTTCTCTTAGCTGTTATTATAACAAATAGTTCAATATTATTAATTTTTTTTGTCGAACATAATAGTATAATTTTATATGAAATTATATTTTAGTTTAAAGATGAGTTTCTTATTTTGTGTAAAATTTAACCAATAGTCAGACTCTCTTAACGTTATTTTTAAAATTTTGCAATTTCGATTTATGTGATGATAAAAATTTATAATATATAATATAGAAATAGAAAAATGAATAAGTATACTTAGTTCTTTTTCTTTATCCTTTCAACTATAGTACTTAGGCGAGTATAATTTATTCATTTCCCAGTCTATGTCATTTTCATTTTACATTTTGAACGGAAAACGTCATTGTTTTCCTTTCGTTCGTGCAAACACCTTATCTTTGTCCTTATTTTAATCATTGTCCTTATTTTCATTGTATCTTTCACATCCCTCCCATCCTTCTGTTTTCTCCCTGTCTTCAATTGCGTGTATATTTTGTTCAGCGATAGACATGTTGTTGTTGGTGGGTTTCATTTTTTTTCGATATATTTCCTATTGTTCGGATCATGGAAGTGTATGCATTTTTTTGGTTTCTTTTGTATGAGGATATTGTTTTCAATGTGCATATTCTTAGTTATGTTTCCAATTTTATTGAGTTGATTTTTTTAGTTTCTTTCTTTCAGCAATACAATGGGTAAGCAATATTGGACGCCTACATCTGCACAACTTCAACTTCAAGTTCTTGAATCTATATTTAATTAAGAGAATAAAATCCCAAACAAGTCAAGGATCATGCAGATAGTCTCCGAACTATCGTTGCATGGGCAAATCTCTGATATGAATGTTTATAATTGGTTTAAGAGTAGACGTGCTCGTTTAAGAAGGCTAAACTTATCCACACAAGCACACGATTCTGAACTTGTAATTCAGCCAAGGGTACAAAAAGACAAATTGCAATATAGACATATAGGTATGATTTGTTGTTTAAACGTGATTTCCTGTTGGTTTAATGTTTTTTACGTAATTTTAACATAAATATTTGGTATTATAAAAGTAACTACAAGTTCTACACATATGCCAGGAAGAAGGATGAGATGTTTTAAATTCACAGCAGGTTTCGTAGATTGAATATTTTTTTTATAATTTTTTTTTGCATCCGGCTATTTATTTGGTCGTGTTGTAGTACACTTCCTTTCATCTTGTTTTTGTGAAATTATTTTTTAATCCAATTTTTGCACTTCTGTTGTCTTTCAGCGATCTTATACTAATTTTATGATTGTAGATTCTATTGATCAATATGGTGAATTATAGAAGGATCTTCGTGTTGATGAAAGCATTGGCGTGGAAAAGCAATTTGAAGATGACAATAGCAAACTCAATGTGGTTTACATGTTCCTATCATTTTAGATCGTTCTAAGAGAATTGATATACGAAATATTCCAGTTGAACCTTATATTCTTCCGTCTTGTACAATTTGTAAACATTGTGGTGCAAAAAAGTTTTACAAAGAAAGTAAGGATTTTTGTTGTTGTGATGGAAAAGTTAAATTACAGCTGAACAGTGTTCCCCCGAATTGTATGAGTTATTTACTTCTACTTCATGTGAAGCGATTGCTTTTAAAAAAGTTGCTCGTACTTACAACAACCATTTTGCATTCACTCCATTTGGTATTAAATATGATAAAAAATTGTGCAAAAATAATAGATGTGTATATACGTTCAAAGTTCAGGGACATGTATACTATTTTATAAATCCACTTCTACCAATTGACGAAAATCCTACGTATTTGCAGTTATACTTTTACGATACTTATAATGAAATTAGTAATAGACTACAAATTTCAGATAGGTTAAGTGAATCAACTTTGAAAAAGTTAATAGATATCTTAAAGATAAATCCATATTGTCGTTTCTTTCGATCATTAAGTAAAGTTTCTGATTTTGATTCATGTTGTATCGTGCTGAGATCTGATTCGGGTCTTGACCAGGGAGTATATAACATGTCATCATGTGAACAGGTGGCTGCAGTGTGGGTTGATTAGGATCCATATGCAAGCATAAAGACTCGTGATATATTAATTTATGAACATTTCAATACTGCACATAGAGTAAATTACTACTATGGCTGTTATGATCCACTTCAATATCCATTAATATTTACCTATGGAGAACTTAGATGGCATGAAGGTATCGAAAAGGTAAATTTGAATACTTCAATAATCCATGAAGATTTCATACAAATCAATCACATTGATTCGGTCGAACAACTTATAGAGATGGAAGATCGTGGTAAGTTTTATTACCATTAAAGTTTTTTAATCTTTTTAGAGTGCATAAATGTATTGTCATTTCTAGATCTATCTTTGTAACTTTAATTTTTTTTCCCTTTCAACTATGAAGAGAGGTAAGGAACGAATTACTGTTTCATGCCGTGAATATTATTGCTACAAACTTCAAATCAGACTTTCAGATAAGTCTATACTCCTTTATACAGGCAGACTTCTACAACAATATATAGTGGATATGTATGTTAAGATTGAAACTGCGAGATTAGATTATTTTCGTAATAATCAAAAGACTATAAGAGGTGAAATTTACCAAGGAATTTTAGATAGTATACAAAATGGTGAGAATAAAGGCTATACAATTGACAAATCAATTGTGTTGCCTATAGGGTTTATTGGGGGTCCTAGAAATTTAACTAAAAGATATATGGATGCAATGTGTTTAGTTCAAAAATATGGAAAACTTGATGTATTTTTAACAATGACATGCAATCCAAATTGGCTTGAAATTAAACAAGAATTGAGGCACAATGATAGTATACAAAATAGGCCAGATTTGTTAGCACGAATATTTCAAGCAAAACTTGAAGAACTAAAAACAGCTTTAATAAAGAGAGAAATTCTAGGGCCTATAGTTGCTTATGTGTATGTAATTGAATTTCAAAAAAGAGGTCTACCTCATGTTCATTTTCTCCTGATACTTAAAACGAATTTTAAGATTACTAATTCTACACGAGTTGACGAAATTGTTTCTTGTGAAATACCAGATTCAAAGAGAAATCCTCACCAGCATGCTACTGCGATCAAACATATGATGCATGGTCCTTGTGGACATTTGAATCCTACAAACGTGTGCTTCAAAAATAACCATACTTGTAAAAACAAGTATCCAAGAGAATACATTTTGCATACTTCATTAGGTAGTCACTTTATAGGCATCGTAACGATGGTGTCACTGTTAAAGTCAAAGGGTCTGTATTAGACAATAGATGGGTCGTTCCATAGAATCCTTATATTTTAGCTAAGTATGATTGTCACATTAATGTTGAAATATGTTCTTCTGTTAAAGCAGTCAAATATTTATACAAATATGTATACAAAGGACATGATCGTGTTAATTTTACGGTGAATAAAGAAACTAATGAGCATTATGTTGATGAGATTTCGAATTATCAAACCGCTAGATGAATATTTGCACCGGAAGCTATATGGAGAATTTTTAGTTTTGATTTATTCGACATATCTCCTTCTGTAGTTTCTTTGCAGTTAAATATTGAAGATGCTCAGTTGGTTACATATAATGAAACAGATGATTTATCAGAAGTTATAAATAAAGACTCCATCCAACGAATAATGTTAATTTAATTTTTTAGAATGAATATTTCAAATGAAAAGACACGAACTTTACTTTATAAAGATTTTCCTACATACTTTGTATGGAATACATATTTTCGAATTTGGAGTCCTAAAAAAAAGCAAAATGTTATTGGTAAAATAGTTGCTGCTAATCCATCTGAGGGCGAAAGATAATTTCTAAGAGTTTTATTGAATCATGTTAAAGGGTCTAAGTCTTTTCAAGATTTAAGAACAGTTAATAACATTGTTGTGCTTACTTATCATGAAGCTGCATTTTTACATGGTCTAATAGGTGGGAATAATTATTGTGAAATGTGTTTAAATGAGGCGATCACCTATGAAATGCCTATATCATTGTGTCGCCTCTTTACTAATGTGTTAATTTTTTGTAGCCCTGCAAATCCTAGGAATTTATGGGTTAAATTTAAAGTGTACATGATAGAAGATTTTTTACATGAAAGCATGACAGTATGTGATGCCGAGATTAGGGCTTTGAGATGCATAAATTCATTCTTGGAAGTTTTTGGTACAAACATAAATGATTTTGGTCTAGTAGATTTTGACATTATTGTGAATGATGCTGATGTGTTAGCAAACATGATTTTAGAAGAGACTACAAATATTAATATTCAGTGTGACATGCATTTTACAGAGAATTTAAATAAGGAACAACAATCTGCCTATGATGTTATTTTAGACTATGTCGTAAATAATAAAAATGGAGTTTTTTTTATTAATGGTTCAGGAGGTACTGGAAAAACTTTTCTGTATAAGGCATTACTTGCTGCAGTATGATCTCGACAACTTATTGCATTACCAGCTGCGTCATCGAGGATGGCTGCTTTTTTATTGCCGGCTAGGCGAACTGGTCATTCATGTTTTAAAATCTAACTTCAAGCAAGTTCTGATATGCGATGTTCAGTATGTAAACAATCATCACTTGGTCAATTTTTACAAATGACAAAGCTAATTGTGAGTGATGAAGCACCGATGATTAATAGATGTGCTTTTGAAACTTTGGATAAAATGTTAAAAGATATTACTGAATGTAAATTGCCATTTGGTGGAATGGTTGTTGTGTTCGGAGGAGATTTTCGACAAGTGTTGTCAGTAGTACAAAGAGGAACAAAAGATGATATCATGAAGGCCAGTTTAGTTTTTTCAGATTTGTGGCAATATTTTACATAACTATCATTGATTGAGAATATGAGAGATAAATTAGATCCTTTGTTCTGTGAATATTTACTTAGAATTAGAAATGGAATAGAAAGAGAACATACATGTCACATGATTAAGCTTCCTTCAGATATAATAATAGATTTTGAAAGTGAATTTGAATCATTAAAAAAACTAATTGCTATTGTGTTTCCTAATTTTCACACATATGGTGACAATTTGAATATTATGATGAACAGAGTTATTTTGAATCCAAAAAATAAACATGTGGATGTAATAAATAATATGTTAGTTAAAAAAACTCCAGGAGAGATATTTACATATTTCAGTTTTGATGAAGTAATTGATAAAACAGAATGATTTATTCATAAGGAATTTTTGAATAGTCTAACTCCAAATGGTATCCTTCCACATGAACTTGTACTAAAAAGAAATTGTCCTGTTATGTTGCTTAGAAACATTAATCTTTCAGAAGGTTTGTGTAATGGGACTAGACTTATTTGTCGAGAATTTAAATGAAATGTTATTTTAGCCGAAATTGAAATAGGTGAATATCGTGGAAAACAAGTATTTTTACCTAGAATTCCATTTATTCCACTTGAAGGAGATAAGTATTCG